GAGAAGTCAGACTTAGAAAACGTAGTGGTACCATGTAAAACATTTTCATATTTTGTAATGCATGCACTTAATTTCGCGATTCCAGGGGATAGAACTCGGGACCAATTGCAATGACCGGTACCCTTATTTTGCGAGGGTTCATGCCCAATAGGGAAACCTGGCGGACCAATGTAAGTAGAGGGGGTATCCCCTCTACTTCTTGGATGGCAAAGGTGTTCAATATTCCTTTTTATTGACCAATCAGGGCGTTGTCTGCATTGTCGTATGAGCCAATCATAGCAATGTCGGATGGAGTTGTCGTATTCGCCATGTTATCCACACATAAACTCTTGCTAACTCTCTGAAATGAAACCAAGAGGCCCTCTGTGGGAATTCGCGTCGCTCAAAGAGTGAAATGGGAGTAGAAGCGTAGTTGGGAAATAACTCTCGGAGAAGAGTTTGGTTTTATAGAAGAAATGGAATTCTACAGTACTATAAATAGTAGAAAATTCGAGCGACATTTTTATGAAAAGCTGAAAAGTCATAATACTGTTTTAAACACGTATTAAACCTAATTTATCTATCCGGATATAGAACACCGTCCATTCCCGTTTGGAGGGAGAAAAGATGACTTGTTTGTGGAATTCGTAAGGTACTTCTGATTATTAACCAATCAGTGTGCAAGACGATCATTTTTATCAATTCAAAAATGCAGAAGATCAAGTTTCCAGCGACTCAAACAACTCGTTCCTACATCAGCTTAATGCTCATGTCAGCAGCTCATCGCATTCTCGAGTACAATCACTGTCATTTTTTCTCAGTGTTTAGTCCTTATTTTGTAAACTCTACCCGATGAAGTCGACATCGAATGACGAATGGTCGATGCGAATTTCTCGTTAGGAAGGACCAGCAGCATCACTACCGGTACTACTTCATGGTTTTGGTCGCCTGGGGCCAACACCCAAGGTTCCAAGTCAAAATGAGGAAGTGATGGGTAGAACTACCGTCACTAAGATAAATATTATCGGGGCATAGTCACCGAAGGTTTGACCAAATCAAGTCGCTTGCCCGAGCCGTGCAGTTGTCTAGACATTAGGCATTGGGCAATAGTTTCAACAAATAGTGTAAACATGAGTATCAGGGTTCTCGTCGTGGTCTACTGGTTGTCCACGTGGAATAGGAAATCCATGAAGTCGCTTTAGAAGATCAACGAGTAAATTGATGTAAACGACTTATCTACAGTACCAGTAGTTGACAATCTTGGCTGATGTGATTACTTGGTTTATGCCAAAATGCAAAACTAGTAGAATGTCCACATTTTACACTACACCATTACCCAATCAAGTTGGACTTTTTTCCAATCAATGTGGTTCGGATATAAAAAACAATAATTTGACGAAGGTTGGAATGCACAAAAGTTCGGTAATGCTGTTACGTTGTGCTCTCAGAGAGGACGCCACACCCAATCGGTTCAAATTAATTTAATCCGTTGCTAAATGTGGATATGGAGCTGTCGTCGTCTATCGTTCGTTTGCTTGTGTCTATTCCACTACTTTCACGTCGGTCTGTGAAGGTCCTCGTAGCCTGAAGGTTCGTCGTGGTGGCGACGAGTCCTGTGGCGAGCCCAAAGAAATCCAACTGCTGGTGCGACGACAAGATTGAAGGCGACCAAGGTTGGTATGTGCGACGAAACCCTAGCCCAGCACTTCCACCACAGCACCCACAACGTCAAGAATAACGGGGCGGGCCACTCCCTATGCTGAGACAAGGCGAGGGCCAAGTCGTACTGCATGACCATTGCTCAGGCTCAAGTGTGCGGGTAGGAGCAAGGGATCGCATTCTTCTACTGTAGATCACAACCAAATAGCCGCAGCCTGCAGCTAGTACTGATCTCCCCACCAGTTCGAAACGGTGCACATTCGATAATTTTTATAATCGGATAAAAATACTTCTTCGGAGGTAATTTCAAAAAAACATTCAAACTTGGACGTTTCGGAATGAAGGCGCGGATGTCCTTGGCGGACAAAACCAACTTGTACACTGAGCACATGAAGAAACTCTATGCCACAGATTCCGAATTGGCACTGTGGGCGATGGAAGCATTTAAGCTGGCATCACCACGAGCAAAGGCAGTTGGAATACTATTAAACGCCACCATACAATTAGCCAGCTAGCGGATCTCAAGTCACGATCAATGGATCGAGTTGTGTGCATGCCCGAGCTCGAGACCAAGATCCTATCATGGGTATTGCGGTGCGAAGAACTCGGTGTGTGTGTCACTGGTGAACTAGTTCGAAAACAAACGAAGTCGTACTACGATGAATATCAACTGGACACGAATTGGCCCCTCAAGTTCTCAAAAGAATGGCTCTACAAATTCCAATAAAAGAACGGTTTGTCCAGCAAGCGCCAGCATGGCGAAGCAGGTTTGACCCCCGCGAAGCAGTGCGAACAAGTCTTGGAGACAACGCGTGGCTATAGCGCATGTGACGTCTACAACATGGATGAGACATCGTTCTTCTGGTGTATGTCGCCTAACCGATCGATCACAAGGAGCCAAGCATTTAAGCTGGCATCACCACGAGCAGGTGTCTCTTCAGTTAATTCAGCGACTTTAACTTTCGTGGACTTGTCGCATATGTGAAAAACCAAACCCCGTTGCTCAAACCTGCGACGCTCATCTTTCTCCCTCGAAATGGGAATGGACGGTGTTCTATATCCAGATAGATAAATTAGCTTTAACAGTTTACAGATTAAAACAGTATTCTGACTTTTGTTTTTTAATCATCCGGACTTT